AAGCCTGTGGGACTTAGAGACTCAGGATGGTCACTGAAGTCATGGCAGGGTGAGAGGTGTCTGAGACAGAGGAGGGGAGGCAGGAGGAGGGAGGGCAGGAGGGAAGGGGGGTAAGCAGGGAGGGTGGGAGGGGTCAGCTGTAAGGATGGAGCAGGACAGCACACAGGTGCCTGGGTTTGACCAGATACCTGAGCACGCTTGCAGGGCCCGAATGGGGTGTGCAGAGTGGACAGTGGCTGGGGTATGAGAAAAAGGGGACGCGATGCAGCAGTATTCCCTCCCCCCCTCCAAGATGTTCACTGAGCACTCGCTGTGGGGCTGCATCCCTTCGGGCACAGGCACAGGTCAGAGACCCGAGACCCCTGCCCGCCCAGGGTGGGGGGAGGGGGTAAAGGGGGGTGGGGAAGGTGGGGGAGTGGGGGGGTAACCCTACAACAGATGGCACAGGGAGGTGGTGCCAGGAGATCCAAGATGCAGCAAGAGGGAGAGCCTGCACCAGGCCAGGGGGGAATCTCAAGGGAGAGACAAAGGAAGTGGAGGGAAGTCTAGGCAAAGGGGCTCAATCAGCTCTGTTTTATAGAAAAGGGAGAGGTTTGTGGCTTCGAGGCCCTTCTAGACACTAAAGTTGCAAGCACTACAGGCAGTGACTCACCTTCCCTTACGTATTTGACAGCCCTGGGAATTTAGGCCTGAGTTAACGTCTCTGAGCCTCAGTTTCCGCATCTGTAAAATGGGAGGAAGGATTCCAGTGAAAGAGGGTTTTGTGAGAACCAGGTGAGCTCCCAGCTCCCAGCACGGTGCTTGGTACGTAGGGTATGATCACTAGGTGCTTGCTACCAAAGCGCAGAAGTCATCCCCCCGGGGAAGCAGCTGGGGGTAGGAAGCAGCTGTCTGGAAAAACCTTGGAAGGCTTCAGAACATTGCTCTCCAAAATGGTGACCTACTCTTATATTTGGTTTGGAAAACGTTGATCAAACATATACCCCCACTTTTCCAGAATCTCTGTTACTCTCAGGAAGCTTCCAGAATTCTAAGCCCGGGCTCCTGATAACGGTACAGGGGTCAGTGGGAGCCACGTGAAGATGACAGTGTGCATGGGGAAGAGAACTCAAGTCTGCAAAGTCAGCTCAGGGATTCAGGGACTCTCACCTCCCCCCCTTGAGTTATTTCTCATTTCCTTTTTCAGCTCACATAAGTTAAGAGGCTGAAAGGGCCCTTGAGGGGACCTTGTCCATCTCTTCGCCTTAAAGTCAGATGGAGGATATCTAAAACCCTGGTGGTAATTGTTTAGGGGGGGAAAGAGTTAGGGTTAATTTAATTTTGTCAAGCTAGCAGAAGTCGATAGGCTCTGCCTTGAATGAAATGAGGCTGGTTCTATTTCAAATCACATTTGGCCCAATAAAATTTGACGCCGGCACATCACTCCTCTGACCCCTCACTCCATGCTGCCGTCTAGTTATTATCACAATTTAGACAAGTGTACACATTCCGAAGAGACTACAGTTACATAGATTGACCTTGACGCGCATGCCACCGGGATCACCTGCCTAGATAAAACCCCTGCCAGACAGAGGGAACTCAGGTCTTATTAAACAAAATTAATGATCAGTCCCCAAAACAAGTCTGGGTTAGATCAAAGAATAAATTATCTTCCCTCAGTTCAAAGTAATTGCAAATGAGCTTTCTCTGCTGGTTCATAGGCATGCAACCGCCCACCTATTTATCTTATTGAGGAAGAACAAAAAATATATATACAACATTGACTATTGATACAAAATTTTTAGTCGTTAGCTTTCAGGTTATTTTTGCTTTTGCTCCAGAGACCGTGAAGAATGTGGCTGAAGTCTTAAGATGGTGTTTCATTTTAGGTTTATTAAATGAAAAGATGTTAGGATGGAGTCTTTCTGGGTGATGAAAAGAGAAATCCGTTTCTTTCTCTTAAACTTTAAGTCAAACAGTATGGAGATTTAAATAGACACAGTAATGTCCTGGGCAACCATCTGGTGGGGGTGGGGGCTGTTTTTCAGGTTCTTTAGCTCGGGCTGGTTTTTCTGGTGTAAATACTCCTAGCCATGGCCCACTCGAAGCTACCAACAGCTTAATAACCAGCTCACAAAATTCCTGACAATTTAACAGCTGCCTCTCAGCTCCTGCACAGCCTGGAGCTAGACAGAAGTAACCGGTCTAAGATTTCTCTCGCTCCTTACCTCTTATTTGACAAGCAAACTCAGCTGTTAAGCCACTAAAAAGTGTGCATTTCATACCATCTGATTACACTTAAACAGGTTTTAAAATAAACATTTCCTTAAAAATAGGTAGTCACTAAAAATCAGGTTGTAAAAGACTTAATGATGCAGAAACAGTTACAGTTTAAGTGAAAACAGTATGTTTGGTGTGGTTCCAAATTTGCAGATAAAAATGACTACGAAGATATACCCCAAAAAGTGATGAACTTTTTTAGTTGTGAGATTATGTGTCGGTTTTATTTCCTTCTTTGTGCCATTTTTTTTTTTCCTAAGATTTTTAAAATTTATTTGAGAGAGAGCATGAGCAGGGGAGGGAGCAGGAGGGCAGGGGGAGAGAATCCAGAGCAGACTCCTCGCCCCCGCCCCCAAGCAGACTCGGGGCTCGACCCCATGACTGCAAGATCATGACCTGAGCGGAAGCCAAGAGGTGTACATTCAACTGACTGAGCACCCCCCCCAGGCGCTTCATTTGTGCCATTCTATTTTTCAAAATTTCTACAATGTTCGTATGGTATATTTGCAGTTGGAGAAAAAAATAAATTCAATAAATGGTAACATATTTATTATGGTGTTCCAGATTTCTCCCTTTACATCCATAAAACCTTATGAGTATACTAGCTAGGAGAGTCAATCAGATCAACTCTATTTTAAATAAGGCTAAATTGTTGTCACTTGATTTTTGTGATGTGTTACTGTTTCCAAAGTACTCTCATAAGCATTATCTAATTTGATAACCTGTGATTCAAGGGAAGGTTATCATATCCTCATTTTACAGATGAGGAAACAGAGGCTCAAAATGATGAAATAATTTGCTTAAGTTCACATGGCTAAGAAAGCGGTTGAACTGGGATCCTGATCCAGGACTTCTGCTACCGGTAAGACCATCCCTCAAAAACAAGCTGAGGGAAGCCCCACTTGCAACTTCCTTGTTAAGAACTTCCCACTAAATGCCTAGACCCAATTCTGCAAGGAGACATTCTCCTGATTTTGCCCATTTTAAATGTCCAGAGCTTGACTAGAATCATCCAGGTAGAGTGCATTCTGTCCAAGCAGACATGCTACACAGAGCAATGACCTCAGTGGGCTTTCTGGCTTAGAAATCTACAAACACGATGGGACCATTTGCTGAGAACTACAGAACCCACACTCTGGGGTGAAACTCTATAATGTTCTGCACATAGAAGAGTCTAGAAAGGCCACCTACTAAGTTCTGGCAGCAGGTTCCGTAGCTTCTTACTAAAGAACTGGGGAGTGCCCTTTACAGGGAGGGCTTAAGAACAATTTCTGGATCCATCTACCTGAAGGCTCTTTGCCAGGTCTTCCGCAATTTGGACTGGAACATCTGTTTCTTGCTTCCGCACCCTCATTCCTGCTCATAAGCAGTGCTTTACTGGAACTTGGTAACCAGAAACGAAAGCAGTATTTTTCAGGTACAAGGTTCAGAAAGAAGAACCCATTGCCTCAAGTCTTGTAGATTTTAGGATGTGGATATACAGGATGAGTTTTAAAAGTAGCATTCTGATGAACCCTCATGCGAAGCCAGAAAAGCCAGGCTTGCCAAGCTTTGGGGAAACAGGTGGCCCCAGGAAAGGCTGGCCCAGAGTGGGGAGTCACCTCCTTCTCCAAGGTGTCATAGAGCAGCATGCAGGGAGGACAAAGCAGTCCCACTCAGAGTCCTCAGGGTGAACAGTTTGGGAACCTCAACATCTCTCTCCGCGGCAGTGGCAGGCAAACCCCTTGGTGACATCACGGGCAGAGGCCAAAGATGCAGACTCTGCCTTATGAAACCCAACCATCTCCTGGGGATTCCCATCAGATGCTTCTGTGAAGAGCATGTGGTACAAACATGTATGACCTTTTCATCTGTACCAGGAGTGGTCAGTTAACTTCATCTGTAGGATCCTAACAGGAAAGACAACAGTGGGGATGGCTAATCAAAGGCTCACACTAGAGGTAGCCGAAAGCACCTGAGCTAAGTTTATCTCCTGATCCACAAGAGAGGCTTAGTCAGCACTGTGGATATCAGAAATTATTTTTCATTGGTGAAGTGAGTAGTTTTCGAGATGCATGGATTGGCTAGATATCCTGCCCTAGTATGAGCAGGGTAAAAGGAATTAGGGAGCCAAACCACCTGTCCTTTGGAATAGCCCTGAAGTGACTGCTGGTGTATTGTGCCCTGCACAGCCAGGAAGTTACCATACTCTCCCATCTGTTCTGAATGAACTTTCAGGTAAGCTGCCCCTAAAGCACCTAAGGGGACAGACACTTGGGACTGCATCAAGCTTACTGAGGTAAGAGGACTGTCTTGTTCCTGGTAGGTACAAGTATGTGTGTTCTCTCCATCGTTTCCTACCTGGTCGCATGTCTGTGAGAGGAGACCTAGAGGGCTCACTCATTTCTCATTATCAGCTAATCTATCAAAAATAATTCAATAACTGTAAATGAGTCAGCTGATTTGACTTAAGACCTTTAATTAGGATACCTTTAAGAATTATCAGAAATAATTAGGGAGCTTCTGAGCAGAAACTGAGTTGTCACTCACACATACTGAGTACTAATCTGGTACTCAGATTAGTGGCCTCATCTGTACCACAAAACAGAAAGGGGCCTGGAGAAATCTGGGGTTACCTTTACACTCCTGAGCAGGCCTCCCACATCACCACAACCAGTAAATGTGCTGAAGTCATGGCATCAGGATTTCTGAATTCAGTTAAATATCACAACTCAGTTTTGTAAAAATCAATCTTAAAATACTTGGTTTTAATCTTTATTCTCCCACTTTTAAAAATAGCACATGTTGCATAAGTATCACATTATCAAAGATTGAAAATTCCACAGAATCCCACCCTCAGAGATGTATTATTCCAGGTTTTGGGGGCCATATAGTAGGAAACAAACAGACCAAGTGGAATTCTACTACCACTAGAATATATTCTATTCTCCTCTTGTGCAAGTTTTCAAACAGTTCTGACAAATAATTCAACTGACCAGTTTCTTCAGAGAGCTTTATGGATCTGTTTTCAGAGAGTCAATCACACAGTGGATGGAAAAACCTCTAAGATTTTCTTGCCATTTATTAAATACTTCCCAAGGTATTAGAGGTGAATGAAGTTTTTTTTTAAAAGATTTTATTTATTTATTCAAGAGAGACACAGAGAGAGAGGCAGAGACACAGGCAGAGGGAGAAGCAGGCTCCATGCAGGGAGCCCAACGTGGGACTTGATCCTAGGTCTCCAGGATCAGGCCCTTGGCTGAAGGCGGCGCTAAACTGCTGAGCCACCCGGGCTGCCCTGAAATTTTTTTTTAAAAGGAAATGAATTCAATAAAGAGAAATAAACACTTCAGAAAATCAGGGCAGTTTCTTATCAAAGCAAAAACTACTAAATTCCAGTTTCAGCCAGTATCATAAAATGACTTTAAAATTCAGCTTTGGGAAATAGCCATCCTTTTAACCATTTACTATATCCATAAAAGTAATTCTGAGATCCTTCTCACTTAGTCAACACAAGAGAACACCACATATACATACGGCCACTTAGGAATTCCTTCCATTCTAAGTGAAATCAAATGAGAACCAGAATTGCTGCATATGAAAGAAGTGTCCATCAGCAGGGAGTCCAGAGTGGGGGGCTTGGAAGAGATTTCAGTCTTTGCAACTGGTAAAGGACAATTTTGATTCAACCTCCCACAGCTTCATTTGTAACGCTTTCAAAACATCATCCATCTATTGAATTGAAAAAATATTTTCAGATACACATGATTAAAATCGTACATGATTAAATTATTAGCATATGTATTGCTAATGAAATTTATGAATGTTATGCATTACACATGAAATTATTTAGGCATAAACTAAATTTTATGTAAATAAGGCATAATTCTATTATCAGTAGTTCTCAACCTCTAACCTAGAACTCTTATACACTCATGGGTATCCTGCCTATCTGGCTGTGAGAAGATGTTAACATTCAAAACTCAGATTGTTTATACCATGAGAATTGAATCAAATGAAATATAGTTTACTAGTTTTAGAATATATACTGTCTTGATTGAGGCATGAAATGTCTTATAATTTTTTTGATTAAGCTTTAGCTTAGTTTATAGTTTGGCTAACTCCCAAAATCAACTTTTCTAACAACTGAAATAAAATAAGCACTCTCTTACCATGAAAGCACTAAGATCAAAACAGATGCCATTCTGAGGATTATTTGTGGAGGAGCTCACTAAAAGAAGTTGTTCACACAAAGATATAAAAAGTACAGAACGGAATTACCTGCTTCAGAGACTTTTCTATTTCAACTCTGCTTTCAAGATTAAAAAGTTCTTTATCTTCTGACACAATTTGCTTTTCCGAGGATCCTAAGATATAACTGAAGTATAGTGCAGTACAAAGTTAAAATATGAAAATGAGGCAAATATTAAATTCATGTTAATTGAATATTAAAACTCTTAAGTATGTTACACTACATATTTGTACTGAGTAAACACAAAATAACTACTTTTGTTAACAGCAACCTACATAGGAAGTTGTGCCACATAAAATGTTTTTCTCCATAACAGATTTGTCCAGGTATTCCTACATATTTTCCAATATTCTGAGCATTTCATTACTGGAACAAGTTTGCTCTTTTGTTAACTGAGTGGCAAAAGATTAACACTCATAGTTCAAAATTCTATGATTAAAAAGTTTAAAAAGATCCAGAAGAAGCCACTGCATTTCTACTTTCTATAACTTTTTGGGAACATGTGTACTTTCAAATTTGACTTTTAGTAAATAACGGATGGAGTCAACTCTTCGACTTTGATCTGGCAACTTCAACGGTTACCTTTAAACTTATGTTCTGCTCGGGTCCCTGGGTTAGGAGACACTCTGCTGTAGAAAATACGGGATAATAGAAATATGGCCTGCAAACGAGGAAAACAGGCCCACTGTTGCTAACCCAGTAAATCTAAACGGCAAACAAGAAGGTGCTAGATTTCTCCGAAGAAAACTTGATTAACTTGCATTTCTTTCTAAGTCTTTCATCACTTGTAGCAACTTCAATGTCACTTCTTTTGTCAAATAAGAACAAGCTTGCTTTGGACACCTCAGTGATTATATTTCTGAAAAACTGCATGGGAGGTGAAATTGCAGAAGCCAATTAACATCCAGTTTAGGAAGGAAGAATGAGATGAAGAAGGAAATGAAGGGGCAGTGAATCATTTACAAAACTGTAAATTGGGGCGCCTGGCTGGCTCAGTCCATAGAGCATGTGACTCTTGATCTTGGGGTCACGAGTTTGAGCGGAAATTGGGTACAGAGACTACTTAAAGTCTTAAACAAAAAAGTAAATAAACACTTCTAAAACCAGCCAGGTTCCTTGGCATTAAAACTCTGCCCTAAGAGGTAACTTTTACCTTAAACTTCAGCTGTTCAGGAAAAAACAACTTCAATACTATAATCTCGTGTGGCAAACAAAGTCTTCCAATGTTTTCTTTTATACAGAAATGCACCACTTTTGAAAGTTTTGTACTAACCCAACTGAATTTCATGCCTTTCATGAAATATTTTCCCTCACTTAATTTTCACACATCTTAGTAAAATTCCCATGGAGATTAAGGGAGCTTCTGTTTAGGCCTGGGTCTTCTATTTATATATTTAAGCCAAAATAGATCTCTCTTCAGATAGACATACATGCTTACAACAATGAGCAATACCTGTTCTATCATCCTTTTGTGTAAGGACTGTAAGAGGTTTATGAGTTTAAAATTTTGATCTACACCTACTTTCAAACAAGGTAGCATATTACAGTTATCAAAGAATAAGTAGCTGAGAAATCATAATTAGGAAAAAACAACACAGTCATATCTTTTCAGAAGAAAATCTAAGGAATTCAACGGGAGTGACAAAATACCTCAAGTAATGAAAAATATAGGCATTCTTTTCTTCTTAAATTGTTCTTTCCTGATATAGGAGGTTTTTAAGCATCTTTAAAGTCTTGAAGGTCACATCTTTTGTAGGATAAGTGAAAATACATTGGGGTCAAATGAGTTATTCAATTTTGTGTTTCTAACTGAAAAAGGCTAATGAATTTAGAAGGCCTTTAAGATATCTGAAACTCTTTAACTGACATCTGTCATCAGCCTCCTATTTACCTTGTTTCCGAACATGTACTTGTATAGAAATCTTGGAGAATGAAGGCACTTCCTCGCATACCTCAGAAAAAATAGGCGATTCCTTTTACTAGACCCATGAAAATAGCTGGACTTTGTATTTCTACTTTTTCCAGAATACCAAAGGGACTTCTCTCCTAACCAGTTTTTAAATTCTTAATTCTTAATGATATTTTAGGCAGCTAAAAACTGGGGGAGAAAAGAAAATGGACAACACGTATTGATCCACACAACTGCTTAAAAAAAAGTCCTATTGAATTAATTCAATTTTTAGGAAAAATTGAACATATTTTTTACTCTGGAAAATGTTCTCACTGTGCTTGCTCTTTATAATTTAGAATGTATGATTTTCAAATACCAAATACATCAGGTCAAAACAAAACAACAACAAAAAAATCACTGGCTTTATTGTCAGAAATTATTATTTGAAAATATATTTTAACCAAATAGTGTTGATTTAGTTTGGATGTGTTTTCATATTAATTTTTCTGCAAAAAAACTATCTGAGAAATCAGTTATGAGATATCCATTTGTTTATCAAGCTTACCTTTCTTTCTTTTTTTTTTAAGATTTTTATTTATTTATTGATAGAGACACAGAGAGAGAGAGAGAGAGAGAGAGAGAGAGAGAGAGAGAGAGGCAGAGACACAGGCAGAGGGAGAAGCAGGCTCCATGCAGGGAGCCTGACGTGGGACTCGATCCCGGGTCTCCAGGATCACGCCCTGGGCTGCAGGCAGTACTAAACCGCTGCGCCACCGGGGCTGCCCTCAAGCTTACCTTTCAATGGCTTCAACACTGAGGCAAAACAAGTCTCTCTTGTAATCTAGATTCTTGGGTGTGCATCTATATACGTAGCCAAGATTGAGTGAGCACCCTGTGCAGTACAAAGTCTCCAGAAGGCTGCAATGAAGAAGTGCCATTGTTTTAGCAAAGTAGCAACTCGTTGTAACAAAAATCCCATTGTTAAAAATCCATAAACATTTAACATTTAAGTTGCTAAAATATGTCAGTCCAACCTTACTAAGTCATGTATATAAAGAAGCGGGGGCGGGAAATGATAGTAAAATGTTTATATTAGAAATGTAGACAGTTAAGGGCAGCCCGGGTGGCTCAGCAGTTTAGCACTGCCTTCAGCCCAGGGTGTGATCCTGGAGACCCGGGATCAAGTCCCATGTCAGACTCCCTGCATGGAGCCTGCTTCTCCCTCAGCCTGTGTCTCTCTGCATCTCTCTCTCATTCTCTGTGTCTCTCGTGAATAAATAAAATCTTAATTAAAAAAAAAAAAAAGAAATGTAGATAGTCACCTCGAGGCTACAGTGCCTTAAGAAGCACTTAGTGACATACAGAAAAGTGACAAGAAAGAATACTGATGTGGTGTTTTTCTAGGATGTAAATGCCTCAATCTGGTTTTAAGAAGAAGTATCTAAAATTTGAAAATAAGGTAAGGATTCCACATGCCCTTTCAATGTCATATTGTCCAATATGACCATAGATAGATTTGTTCTATAATGATTCAGGGAACAAACATTTCAGGTTTGTAGGCCATGTGATATCTGTTGCAATGATTCGCCTCTACTATTGTAGCACAGAAGCAGCCACAGACAAGACATAACTGAATAGGCACTGTCCATGTTCCAATAAAAGTATATTTACAAAAAAAAGTGCCTGGCCCATGGGCCATACTTTGCTCTCCTGGAAGGTAACACTGGTTGTTCACTAGTTACTATTGATTAGGGCCCAGACTCTCTGAAGTTAGATGATAACTTATAGAAAGATTAGTAAAATTAATAATTTGTAAAATTATAAATAATTTTAGTCTAGTAAAGACACAAATGTTCTCTGCTAGTAGAAAAGGTAACTTCAAAGGCTGAGGCTCTATTGTCCTGTGGGACATTAACTAAATTTGTTCTACAGAGAGTATCCTCCTCTAAACCAGCTTTGCCATGTTGATTGCCTCAGTAAGGAGTTAAATAAATCTCTAACATGTTCATCTACCTGTTAGGGTTGCCTTTCTCTTTTTAATTATACTTTGACCTAACACTTTTCTTCCACTATGGATATGTTCCACATAGGCAACTCAAAAATATTTTACTTAATGATTCAAGTTCTCTACATAATTGTTCCTTCATTCTAGTTATTTCTCAGCTCAGGCTCTGCATATTTGAATATAATCTCCCCTACCAATGTTGATTCATGTCTTCTTTAAATCTTAGAATCCAGTCACCCAAATGCCTTGCCAAGCTGATCTATCCAAATTTGCCATTCTATAAATATCTATAATAAACCACAATCCCAACATATAGAAAATTGATGATAACTGAAGATTGAAATCTAGTGATCAGGGACACCTGGGTGGCTCAGCGGATTGATGCCTGCCTTCGGCTCAGGGCATGATTCTCGAGATCCAGGATCGAGTCCTGCATCGGGCTCCCTGCATGGAGCCTGCTTCTCCCTCTGCCTATGTCCCTGCCTATGTCTCTCATGAATAAATAAATAATATCTTTTAAAAATAAATAAATACATAAATCTAGTGATCATAATATACAACCCAAAAGATAGTTATTATTTCAAAAGAATTATATAATTCCTATTGATATTGAGCCACCTGTTATAACTAAATAGCTATTCCTGTTACCGAAAAAATGGAGCCAACCAAGACTCAAACAACATATTATAGACTGCATTATTGTTTACTTAAATATACCAAGAGACTTAACTACTGCATCTACATATGGAACAAAGAACAAAATGCCCAATAAATTTTAAGTTCTCACTAGTGATAAAATTAGCTAGATAGTATGACACTGATCATATATTAAGCTCCCACATGCTTTTATATTTTATATTTTTATGTATATTCTAAATATTTTAATATTTTATATATGTTTTTTATATTTTATATTTCTTAGTAAATAAAGCCTGGGAGGCAACCCTATCTATACTACGAAGAGTGTACAGGAAAATGTTCATACTACATCTCTAACCTCATAATCTTGAGGCTGCCATACACAATTACCAAGATTGTGAACTAACATATAAGGTAGGTGTAATCAGCCAAGAAAAGCTACTTAAATAAACCCAAAATACAAAACACACTGATCAACGTAGCATTGTTTTATCCCAAATTACCAAAATCAAAGTAAACACCAGTGAAGAATACACACAAACCCATTCATACTTCCAGAGTGATCTAAGGAATGATGACAATTATTGCAGTGTCTTTCTGCTTTCACCACTGGCAAGGGTTTGGCCAGAATTCACCATTAACGCTGAACAACAATACTGAGAAAGTAGTGCCAGAAATCATGGAGGATTTTCCGACAGAAATGAGTAAGGATGTGAGAACCTTAACAAATGACAGAACGAACCCAGGAAACAGCACGGCTACCTTTACAAAACATTTCTGAGCCCCAGAGGGCTCTTGCTGACCAGCTACAGGCAGCTCAGGCAACTATTCCATAGGACAGGCATCCTAAGGCAATATGGTTATCTCCTCAAGTGTAGAATATGGGACCTTAGTCAATGTCCTGAATTTGAATTTGTGTGGCATAAATGATGGGTTCAAGAGACACACATAAACAGGACTAAATAACACTGGCTCACAGAGTAAGAGTCAGTGCCCCCTTACAGTTCTTATCAATCTTAAGAAGTGCTAGGAAGTCTTTAACACAAACCTCACAGCTGCAAATCTTTTAACAGTGAGAAAACAGACCGTAGGCTCAGATCAGCCAGGCAATAGCATCTCTGCTAGAGTTTAATAACATCTGTTTTCATTGTGGTCCACTTCTAGTTAACAGCAAATGATATGGCAGTAATATTAGATTCCTTTTTAAATTTATTAAATAAAAATCCTGAGTCAATGTAATAAAAGCTATGAAGTACAAGATAGCAAATGTGATAGATGGATATGGCAAAAATGGTGAAATTGGCCTCAAAATGGCTAAAATTGGGAAGGAAAGAAGAAAAAACACTTTGCAAGAAGGAAGGAGAGATACAGGCATCATCCTAGCTCTAACTACTAAAAAGTCCTGTGGCTTTAGCAAACTTCTAATCTCCCTAAGGCCTTACTTTCTTCAAATGAAGAATATCTAAGGCTGGTTT